GGGTCAAATGGTATTTCTAATTCCAACTTTTGAAGGAATCGCCATACTGCTTTCCACAATGGTTGTACCATTTTACAGTCCCACCAGCAGTGTAGATTATTGGAAACTCTTAAAGAAATTTTTCTTTCTTAGAGGAATGATACCAGAAAATCATTCATGTAATCTGCAGTTCAAAAGGGAAAATAGTGAAAAATCTTTCCCAGTCTTATCTTTGGTCACTGTATGCCCTTTTTTGTAGGTACTGTGTAAACATTTTGAAGGTAATGAATTTGATGGAAACACTATTCCTTCTGCATAATTCATGCTAGGTGATACTTTCTTAAGCTTTTGTTTATTAAATTTCTTTGTTTAAGTGCTTAAATAATGCAGATGATTACCTATTCCTTCATTGAAGTATTATTATAATAGGAATGCTTTTGTAATATTTAATCATCAGGCAGAATTCCCTGAATTCTGTAGTATTATAAAGTACAATACTGCGTAATTTTCTAATGAATTAACTTTAAGTTTATTCTTATATTACTTTTTAAACTCTTAATTAGTAATTCATAAATTACCTAGTTGTATTTAATGTATTACTCAGGATTATTAGGGATACTTTCAAGATTCAGAGAAACATTGGCTGCTTATTTTAGGTGTGTAACTGAGCAGATTGGATTTGGTTGACTGTTGCCTTTATATTGTGGAGAACGTTGATAAGTTTTCCTGCGTAATCACTGGTTTCTTTTATTTTTTATTTTAGATTTAGAAATGCCATGTTAAAGAGCATCTGCGAGGTTCTTGATTTGGAGAGATCAGGTGTAAATAGTGAACTGGTGAAGCGGATCTTGAATTTCTTAATGCATCCAAAGCCTTCTGGCAAAGTGAGAATCAATTTTGTATTGTTTTTATAACAGCAATTTATGGTTACTTCATACTTTTTTATGAAACAATATTTACTTAACACAGTCATTGTATAGGCATTCACTGATATTTCCTACATTCAAATGATATGCTTTCCATCAACATACTTGCAACAATTTCACGACAAATAACATAGAAGGCTTAGGGATGGGCTCTGTAGGTACCATGGGATAGTAGGTTAAGAAAAGTAATTCAACTCAGATGGGGCAGAAAATACAAAATAAGTATTCAGGGTTATGTTGGTGGGTGCCTGCTGTAATCAGGTGTATTAGAACTTGGATGTCTTCTAGATCCTGGAATAATATAATGAAAAAAACAACCAAATAAGCTGACTCTACAGGTGTCCTGAATTATATTTCCAGAGTCCTCAGCAGAGCCCAGGAGCTAGACAGGGCAGTAAAATGACCTTAGTTTTCCATTTTTCCTAAAATCTAAATTAGCTCTGGTAGCATAGTGGCTAAGGCACTTGACTGCTAACCAGAAGGCTGGCGGTTCAAACCCACCAGCCACTCCTCGGAAGGAAGATGGAGCAATCTGCTTCCGTAGTGATGCTGCCTCGGAAACCCAAGGAGGGGTCGCTATGAGTCTGGCCGACTTGATGGCAGGTAACAACGACAATTATTAAACAGTAACAACTGATATCAGTGAGACTTAAAGTGTCTATTGAAGTTTTACTTATATGACCTTGCATTTTCAGCTTGTAATAATAAGTCTGTCAGCAAAGTTTTTTTGAATTTTTTCTTGTTTTGATAGGAAAGAAAAGAAAGAGATTTAGTGGCCCTAGGAGTTGAGTGATACACCACCTGGCTAGGAAGCAAGGATTAAAAATAGAAACCAGAAAATAGCTCTGGGACTTTGTTTTTCTGTTTGTGGTTCTGATTACCATTTGCTAGACAAGGACAAATAAAAGCTACTCCAAGTGTTACTTTTGTCATGAAGCCAAGGGTTATGATGGTTTTTCTGGTGTTTCAGATGGGCTTATTTAAAGATGAGAGGTGATTCCCCCTCCCCCCAAAAAAAGTTTACTATGGCTATACCTGTACTTTTAAACAATTTTGTGTGCCAAATTTACCGCTATTGCCCCAGAAGCAATTACTAATTTTCTTGAGTTACGAGGAATGTTTATATTAATCTTTTTCTTAGTGATTTTCAAACGTTTTAGACTCAGGATCTCATTACCTTATTAAAAATAAGTGAGAAGTGAGACATTAATTTGTGTTTTATAAATCTTTTTAACGTCTTGGCTCTGTATTGAATCTGTTGCTCTATATTGTTTTGCTTGAAGAAGAAAATCCAGCCTCACACAGTATGTAGTTGGAAAAAGGAGCTATAATTTTAAAAGCCCTTTCAGATAAGTGTGGGTATTTGATACAACACCATAACTTCACAGTGAGGATTTTTTTCTTTTTATACTACAAGTATATTGCTATGGGGAATACATAATTCATTGCTAGTACAGTTTGCTTCCACTACCTCAAGGTACTAAACTGTCAGCAGTTGTATTCACTTTTGCTTCTGCGCGATCATTATAAAGTCACCACAATGGAAGAAGCAATTGGTATGAAAATAGTTTTGACCTTGCAAAACCCTGCAAAGGTCTCAGGAACTCCCAGGGGCCACAGACCACACTTCGAGGGTCACTGTTTTGTCCTTTCTTAAACTATCTCTTCTGTTTTTCAGAACTGACGGTGATGATTACTACTTTATCTGATGGTAGCAAACTATTTTCTGTCCTACTGTAAGCTTCCATCTTTTAATGAAAATGTTATAATCTTAGTATTACTAATTATCTTCCTTTCTAATAATCTTAAATTTGGTAAATTAGCACAGTATTTCATCAATAATTTTACTTTCTGTTGTACTTCTGCCTGTTTATTTCATTTTGTAATTTTTTTTTCCCAACAAGAGAGAGTGCTGTTAACACTGGATTTTGATGAATAGATTCAACTGTTTTAGAACCAGTGTTGAAAAGTTCTAAAACATTTATATATTACTTTTTTTTTTTTTTAAATAGTTCCTCATTTACTTTTGGATTGTCTTGATTGGTTACTTGGATGATTTAAAACCTTTTTACTTTCTTGTATAGCTCTATCCAGCACCCATTCTAGTCCCCAGATTGCTAATTCTGTATACAGATTATCCCTTGCCACCTGCATCTGGGACTTGATTTGAGATAGTGAAGGATACCACAGTTTTCTAATGCCCCTGAGTCCTGGATTTTACATAGTAAGTAGTGAGATTTTGGACAGATAAGGCCATCAGAGAATTTATTACCTAGATGGATTTGGTTCCTGGGTTTGGATGTTAATTGTTGAGATTACAAGGATATGTACATATATTTAAGGTGGTTTTTATACAGTCTTCTCTGAGAAGTGTCTTTGGTCCACTAACTTAACATTTCTGGAGTGACCTAGATTGGCAGTATCTAGCTTTTAGAAATAATAATAATGCCTTAGTCTATATGTTTTCAGGTCCTTTAGCTATATAAGGTTATTTTATGGTTTTCCATTTCAGAATTTAGTAGATACTCCCCTGAGAAAACATTTAAAGATTCAGTTTGTTGGTTATTAAAATCAAATCTTTTCCTCATGTGACCTGCTATGCTTTTAAGATATGTCTGGTTTAATTGAATCTCAGAGTAATAGCAATACAGTTATTTTGTAGTTCTTAATTAGTTTTTATAGTTAACATACCTGGCATTCTTAGAGTTTAACTTTATTGCATTATCATGAATATGATCCAAGCATATGAAAGTAAGGAGCGCTGATGTTGCAGTGGTTAAAGCACTCCACTAATTGGAAGGATAGTGGTTCAAACGTACCAGCCTGCCTCTATGGGAGATAGGTGTGGTAGTTTGCGTGTGGGAAGATTTCTAGCCTTGGGAACTCTATGAGGCAGTTATATTTTGTCCTGTAGGGCAGCTTTGAGCTGAAAATAACTCAATGGCAGTGGGTTTGGTTATGTATTTTATACTGAAAGTGGAGCCCAGAGTGTTACTAATATAAATGATACAGTTTATTCACAGATCCAGGATGTATAATTAGTGATCAGGTTTCATTTTCTTTATGGATGATAGCTCCCAACCCTTGGATTCAAGGGTCCCCTAAAGCAAGGAACACCTCTGGCTGCAACAGTTTTTATTATTATTATTATTATTATGGAAACACACCAAAACATCCACCAGTATCTCCACATTTACAAGTAGTGGCACTAATTACATTAGTAGTGACGAAAACATTTGGCTGCTAACTAGAAGGTCAGCAGTTCAAACCACCAGCCACTCCATAGGAGAATGATTAGGCAGTTTGCCTCCATAAAGATTTACACCTTTGGAAACCCTATGGGCAGTTTTGGGAGCTCTGGTAGCATAGTGGCTAAGATGCTTGCTAACCAGACAGCTGGCGGTTCAAACCCACCAGCCACTCCTCGGAAGGAAGGTTGGGCAATCCTACTTCCATAGTGATACTGCCTCGGAAACCCAAGAAGGGGTCGCTATGAGTCGGGGCCGACTCGACGGCACATAACAACAACAACAACAACATGGGCAGTTTTACTCTGTCCTAAAGGGTCACTGTGAGTCTGAATTGACTTGATAGCAGTGGGTGGGCAACCATTATTGATGGCTATCTGCTCTGGTAGCATAGTGCCTAAGGCACTTGACCACTAACCAGAAGGTTGGCAGTTCAAACCCACCAGCCACTCCTCGGAAGGAAGATTGGACAATCTACTTCCGTAGTGATACTGACTCGGAAACCCAAGGAGGGGTCGCTATGAGTCGGGTCCGACTTGACAGCACGTAACAACAACAACAACAACATCCACATCCAAAATGTTCTACCACCATTAACGTAAACTCAATGTCCCCTGAACACAAACTGCCTTTTTCCCCTGGGTGCAACAATTTTAATACTTATAGGAATGGAATAAATTAGTCTAACTCCAAATATTATCTTAATAAAGTATGAACAGTTGAGCTTAACACCATGTGTACTTGGGTTTCTGGTCATATGTCAGCGCCTAGAACACATATTTCTTTTTTTTTTTGATTTTATTTTATTTAGATTTGGGTGAAGATTTACAGAGCAAATTCACTCTCGATACAGCAGTTCACATATACTTTGTCTCATGTCATTGACCACA